GGAATATGTGTTTATGAAACACATGTGACTGAAATTAGATTATATTCCAGTTTTAAATGTGCATCTGATTACAGATATGTGGGATTACACAAGTTTTTTATTTTAAAGAGAACCAGTTCTAAAGAATAATTTGCTTTTTGGGTTAAAATAATTTCTTTATATGAAATTCGAGTGGTTTGACAATTAGAGATTATACTGTACAGAAATTGAAATCTACATGAAGCGCTACATACACGTAGTCACGCAATGCTGATGTTGTTAACATGAACAATTTGAGAAAAAAGTATAACAGTAATAATAAATTGCGGTTTGATGTGATATGAGCTAATTAACCGATCATTAGATTTAATCACCATTGTAGCGCGATTTATTGTATTGCATTTTTCCTCAGTTGGTCAGAACAAAAGTGGCAGACTTGTTACTTGCTGTTCGGATGACAATATTTGGTGAAAATTCTTATTTTTGTCATATATTCCTAGACGTAGGCTAGAATATGTGATTCCTAAGTACGGTATCACACTGGTGTGGTGACTGACAGCCACACATACTCCTCAAAACATTAGATTTATCCGCATGCTGGAGCCAAGCTGGTGCACAACCCACGCAAGGAAGATAATTCTGCAAATAACTACAATTGCAGGTTTCAAACAGAGATGGCGACAAAGAGACAAAACTTACAGACTGCAGCTTTAATGTGAGTTAGTTGACATGTAGTTGCAACTTAATGAGAGTTAGGTGACATGTAGTTGCAAATTAATGGGATTTAGTTGACATGTATTTGCAAATTAATAAGTTAGTCCACATGTAGTTGCAAATTAATGAGTTAGTCCATATGTAGTTGCAAATTAATGTTAGTCGACTTGTAGTTGCAAATTAAAGAGAGTTAGTTGACATGTAGTTGCAAATGAATGAGAGTTAGTTGACATGTAGTTGCAAATGAATGAGAGTTAGTTGATATGTAGTTGCAAATGAATGAGAGTTAGTTGATATGTAGTTGCAAATCAATGAGAGATAGTTGATATGTAGTTGCAAATGAATGAGATAGTTGACGTAGTTGCAAATGAATGAGAGTTAGTTGACATGTAGTTGCAAAGTTACTTATAGTTAGCAGAATGTCTAAAGTGGACTATCAAAATAAAGTGTAACCCAACTTTTAAAGCTTGTGTTCATTTTCTGTTTAAAGGTTGCATGAGTTTCCTTGAACATCAGCTGATTTTACATTCATATTTGAACATGTTTGATATCTGAATTGAAATGCTGTGCTCATATGCATCTGTGTTATCTACAAAGGTTCACAGCTGCTCAGCAGACCGTTCTGTTCATTTGATCGTGATGACTGTGAGTGTTTACTGTGTAGAGCTCTTGTTCTCGGGCCGGGGCGGGATCCCTCACAAAACGTCCAGGAGTTTCCTTCTGTGAGTGGGCTCTCCTACACACAGACACACACACCGTACACACACACACACACACACACACTCACTCACACACACCGTACACACACACGCAGCTGAGTCACCATCACCAAACCTGATCCCACGCTCACACACCAGCTTCTCCTCTCACTTCTCCAAACGCTCGTCCTGCTTTTGAAACTGAGTCTTGGCTCTTTTGAGTGTGTGTGTGTGTCTGTGTGTGTGTGTGTGTGTGTGTGTGTGTGTGTGTGTGTGTGTGTGTGTGTGTG